AAAACTTTTAATGGCCATCACAGATTCTGTCTCTTCTGTGTGCAAGTGAAGCAAATGACTCTTTATTCCATGGAGAGACTGCAATTTGTACAGTTTGTAAAGGTCTTATTATGCAGTTGTTGCTTGTTCCTAATGAACTGCACTTATCCAGTCTCCTTAATCACTTGCTCCAAATTAAGTGCAAAATTGATTCCATAAATCATTTTAGGCTAGTGGTAGCCTGCTTGTTGTGTTTAGGAGGAAAAGACGAGGCCCCAAGGAAAATGAAATACCGCAAATGGATTACAAGCAAGGAGAAACCTTTTTGCATTCTTTCCAATTCAGTTAGTATATGTACTTTAGGTACAGTATCTGCATCATACAGCCTGAAGCAGCAGTAATTATTTCTAAGCTTCTTATTACTTGAACAGACAAGGTTTCAGACTGAGACATTCAAAACTGGCTGAAGTCTGACCTGTATGCTATGCAGAACTGTTTTGGCTTCAGTGGTTCAAAAGATGATGGAATATGTTTCCTTTGCAGCTATGCCCTGTGAAAACGAGAACACAAAAGGCTTGCTACTGTTCTTTCTGCACACTAAGAAATGTATTTTGTTTTCTGAAGTATTGCAGAAGTCAACAGAAGAAATGCAGATTTTCCTAAAACATTATGGAATGTGTCTTGACTTAAGTAAAATAGGATTTCTCCCTGTCCCAACTCAAATAAATTGCTTGGTCTCTTGCTCTTCGTATATTTCAGTTTATTTTTTCTTCTATAGCAATTGGTCTTAACTGTTTCCTGTTTGGGGATCAAATCAGGACCACTTTCCAAATTAATACAGGAGCAGTAGGACTGTTGCACTGCTTTGCCACATGTTCAGTGGGCACCCAGTATTTTACATTATTCTGCTCCTTCTACGAGGACCAAAGCTTGTGGGTTTCAGTCTCCTGATGTTACTGATATGGAACCCAGGTGGTCTGAGCTGTGCTAGGAACTGCAAAATCACAACCTTTATTCATTGGTTTCAGGATACTTTACTGAAAAAAATGCTTTAACATTTAGAGCTCAGTGCAGTAAATGTTATGCTGGTGTTGGAATTCTTGTTTAAAGCTACCCCTGCTAATCTACTTGGGGTGTCTCTCTGCATACTTACAGTTTCAATGTAATGTGTTTAAAACGTATTGTGAGCCTACTGTAAAAGTTTGCCTATGCTTTTAGTGGAAACTTGTGTGAACAAAAATAGGAGACAAACTTGGTCTTGTTTTATATTATAGCTGAGCTGAGTTGGAACAAATCGGACAAAATGAAGAACAGTTGGGTGAACAATGTCAATAAAGAAGCTGTTGTCACACCAGAGCTCTTTGGTATCCAGGAACAGCTAGAAGAAGGGGAAGCAGAATCCAGTCCAAGGTAAGAAGCATTTCATCCAAACAGAACTGGTGACTTCACTGTTTGCATGTGTGTACACATGTGCTTCTCGTCTAGGGCTGCAAGAAGTAAAAGATTCTCTTTCAACATGTCACATAAACATGTCTTCCATCTAATGCTTGGCTGGCTCTTAAGGCCCCTAATGCATCACTCTTCATTGAATTTCAAGGAGCTGTAAATAGTTCCTGACTCTGGCTTGGGAAATCAGTCTGCAATATCTTAATGTGTTATGGTTTTGCATGTTATGGTCTATGCTCCCTAAAACAATACTGCACATTTCCAAATAAATGCACCCCAGGACAGGGAAAGATAGGCAGTCTTGTTTCATTTTCAGAACTTACATTAGGATTCAGGATGTGGGATAGTTGGTTCCATAGAGTCCCTGGCAGCTGGACACTGGAGGAATGCAGCATTCTGAATCTCTCTACATGTAGCCTAAATGACTGTTAATCTCATTTTACTTCTCACGTTACTTGAGTGTGGGTGAAGCCACTCTGGACTGGTGGTCTTGATTAGGAGTTCATGATATTGTTAGGGAAACAATATAAAACCAAGTTTTGAATTTGCGGGACCAAGGAAGAAGCCGTTTCTAGAGTAAAATGGCTTTCACTAAGAATGTCCTGCTTTGGAATTCAAAAGGAACAGTCATTTTGAGTTTCTTGAATGATCTCTACTGCCATAGTAAACTTTGGGGAGAAGGGGTTGCTAACATTTATTCTTTCTGTGCCTGGATTGATTTATTGTAAACTACTCAACTCCACCACAGGTTAGTACTTGTAAATACAAGTACTATCCTGCAGTAGAGCTTGTTACTCCACAGCAACGCATGTATAGACACTGATAGGGCTGGCTGGGGCACGAGGGTGCTTCAGAGCCTGCTGCTTGCCAGGTAGCCCCACACTGGAGCACCCTTGCATCCCATCCAGCCCTTCACAGCATGTTGAGCTGGGTTGGAGCACCCCTGGATTTGCAGGCTGACCCCGTGAGCCCCTTGCGAGCTGGGGCTGCTCTGAGCCAGCTCAATATGCTGTGGTCTCAGGCATGTGTTCAAACATGGTGCCCGGGAGTAATAAATTCTGGTGCAATATGTGCCAGAGTTTATTGTTGTGCATTAATAGCATGTGTAGAAGTGCCCACTGAGTGGGAATGAATGGATGGAGCTTGCTTCTTTAGGTCCCTGGTACATGTTGTGTTTCTGCCATGATTAAGATGGAAATTTTGCCAAAAATAGCAACTGGCCACATATTCATAGAACTTATGGGGCCATAAAATCACAAACCAGCCACAAGGATGTTACTTAGAAGTAATATCTCTGTAGCTGGTTTGTAAGATGCCATAACTTGGAATGTGTGGCATGCCCCAGAGCACTCCCAATCTTACTCTTTTTAAAATACAAATAGCCTTAATGTTTATAGAAGGGGGTAGGTCTTTGTTTTGGGGGTTGATGTCTTGGGTTTACCAACTTAACAAAGCATGAGTGGCAGCAGTGTGGATTTCCCTACACATGTGATTACCAGTGTGGCCTGCCCTTAATTTCTTGAGGCATCAACTGTAACAGGACTGGAAAACTGGGGTGAACTGTGCTAGCTAATAGGAGATCAGGATGGCCCTGGGGCTCGAACCTAGGGGTTGTCCCAATCAGCATCCCTGCTCCAGCCTTGATGTGGTCCCTGCCGGCCAATGGCATATCAGAGCAGCCCGAGGTCTGAACTCTGGGGCTATTCTAATCAGCTGATCTTCAGCTGCCAGGCTGTAGTTAGAAGGGATGGATTCAAATTTAGGGGTTTAACTAAATCAAGCATAGTATAAAAAGAAAAAACGAAAAATTTACTTGTCAGTAAAAAATTTTGCAGTAAAAATAAACAAACAAACAAATAAATCTCGGGTTGGCAACCATGCGTAACTGCAACAATGGGTTTGCTGTGTTGTCCCCACCCCTATTCCTCTCTGATTGCATTCTGCACCATGCCGCCTCACTAATTCCATTCCTCTCATCTCTGCATGGACCTCTAAAGAAGCCTATTTGCAACCCAGCAATACTACAGGCAGCCTAGGATGCAGCAGCAGCTTATGGCTGAGGGCATGTTCCCTGAAAGTTCTGTGCTTCTGCTCAGACACAAGATGGCACTACTGAGCTCTGTCTGTCAGTTTCAACCAAGCTCCAGCTGCTTACTGTTTTTACTGATGGCAAAAGTTTCATTTACTTACCATATTTACTCAAATACAAGACAGAGATTTTCCCCCCAGTCAGCATGGGGGAAAAGAAGCTGTCTTAATTTGCGCACAAAAAAACACTCATTAAATTCATTGTATATCATTCAACCGCTGCCAAAAGCAACACGTGCTCAGTAATGGAAACCAACAATGAAGTTGATTTAAATGCTGCCAACACTGAGCATGACTATAAAACACATGGTCTGTATTTGGGCAAACATGCTGATGGCAACATTTTTGAGTGTGGCTCTTAAATACAGGCAGTTTCTCCCCCAGGGTGGAATGAGCACAGGGCCTGGAGCTGCAATACCAGGCCAGCAAACTGTAACACCCTCCCCTGGTGCCAAAAATGCAGATGGAAGTGTGTGTGTGTGTGTGTGTGTGTGTGTGTGTGTGTGTGTGTTCCATCCCCCCTTGGTGCTAAAAACAGATTTAATTTTATTAGAAAATGTTAAGTATCATGAGACAAAAGTGACAAAGCTATAAGGGAAATACAGAGTGCCTGAGTGAGGGACTAACATAAGAGGGATGGGGCAACTAGGTAACAGGAAATACAGTTACCCAACTAAGCCTGTGGGTGGGGAGGAGTGGGGGGGAAGTGGAGGCGGGGGGGTGGGTCGCGATTCTGAGAGAGAAAGAAGATAAATGCACATAAACCCATAAAATAGTCCTCAGTGGTGGAGGAGGTAGGTTGAAGAAGTTACTCAGCCCATAGAGTCCTATTGCGGGGATCCTTGAATGGTGGAGTGGAGTGGTTCATGGTTGGAGAGTGGCTCTCAGAGTCCATCAGGTGCAGAGGGAAGATCAGGCAGTTCTTTTTTAAGAATGCAGAAAAATGGTTCTGAAAGTGGTTAAAATTTGTATTACAATTTGAGGAACCAGGACTGCATTATTTCAGGTCACAATTCCAGCTGTGGTCCATCTCTCTACTCCACTGCTCCAGCCATGTCAGAAATTTCCACAAAACTTAGGAACCTATAATTTCTGTTTACTTTGTTGTGCCAAGAGCTTTTTCTAGTTCATAAGTATCACCTTCATCTGAAAATGAAGATGCAAGTGTTAGTAATCCCTTCTTTTTCAACAAGTGTTGCACTTAAGTGAAGAGGTAAAACTAAAATTCAAGGTTTTTCCAACTTCCATCCTCATGCTTAAGCCACTGGACCATGATGCTGTCTTTAAGGACAGATTGTACTATATAGTTGTCATCTTCAGCAATCCCTTACAGTTGAGGATGATCGTTTTCCGTGATTGTTTTACCTGTGGGTCTGATGACACCAATCCAGGATCAACAGACTCTTTTGCAATTTGGGCATGTTTTCCTTTGCAGAGTGGATGCAGAGTCCATGATGTGCTGTTTTTGCCATTCCCACTTTTCTGTCTCCTGTTGTTGGTTTCAAAGTACTGTGATCCTTGCAGCAGACTCTTCCTCCATTTGGAGTGGTCTTGGGTGATAGTCTCCAATCAGTTGATGTTGCATTTTTTTCAAGTTGGCCTTGAGGACATCCTTGAAGTGCTTTCTCTGCCCTCCTTTTGAGTGTATACCTTGACTGAGCTGGGAGAATAACACTTGCTCCAGGAGTCTGGAGTTGGGCATCTGGGTGACATGTCTGACCCAGCAAAGTTAATGTTGAATGATCATCACCTCAATGCTCATAGTATTTGCTAGCGAGAGGATGCTAACATGGGTGTATCTGCCTACCCACTGGATTTGAAGGATCTTCTGCAGGCAGAATTGGTGGTACTTCTCCAGTGACTTGAGTACCTTGTGCATGTCTCAGCTCCTTAGGCATCACAACTGCTTGATAAGCCATGAGCTTGGTTTCAGATATGATGTTGTGATCTTCAAACACCTGTTTCTTCAGGCATCCAAAGGCTGCACTTGCACTTGTAAGGTGAGGTTAGATTTCTTCATTGATGTCAGCCGTCTGTGAAAAATGGCTTCCAAGGTACAGGAAATACTCAACATTCTCCAGAGTCTAACTATGAAGTTGAATTACCAGAGCTGGGGACTGCTCATTAAGAGCTTGTTGATGTAGGTCCTTAGTCTGCTGAACGTTAAGCCATTAAGCATCAGTCCCATTTTCTTGTATGCCTTGGTAAAGATGTCAACGATTGCCTGAAGGTCTGCTTGCAAGTAAGCGTAGATTTTCAGCATCATCAACATACTGGAGCTTGATGATTGAGGGCAGGGTTGTGTTGGTTTTGGCTTGGAGTCAACTGAGATTAAACAGCTTACTATCCATTTGACTGGAAGCTTGTTGGTGGTCAGATGTACCATTGTGGTAAGGAATATTGAGAAGTTTGTTAGAGTGATGATGCAGCCATGCTTACCTCTGGTCTTAACCTCAAAGGGATCTGTGATAGATCTTTTGCTGAGAACCACTGCTTGCATACCGTCATGGAGCAGGCAAAGAATGGTGATGAATTTTGGTGGCCACCTGTATTTCAGAAGGATCCTTTACAGTGTTGCTTGGTTGACAGAGTCAAAGCCTTTCATAAGGTCAGAGAAGGCCATGTAGAGAGGTTTATGTTGTTCCCAGCACTTTTCCTGCAGTCAGTGAGCAGTGAACATCATGTCAGTTGTGCCTCTTGTTGCTCTAAACCCACACTGAGATTCTGGAAGGAGCTCTTTAGCAAGTGGAAGGTGACGGTTCGGGAGGAGTCATGCAATGATCTTTCCTGTGGTGTACAGCAAGGCAATCCCTCTGTAATTCTCAGTTGGACTTGTCTCCTTTCTTGAAGATTGTCCCAGTCATGGCATCCCTGGGATCATCTGCGATTTCCTTATCCTTCCAAATCCTTAAGATGAGGGCAAGGAACTGTGATATAAACTCCTCTCCCCTCTGCTTGAAGATTTCAGTGGGGAGTCCATTAGCCTTGTCATTCTTCATTCACTCCATCTGATTGATGGCTTTCCTCACCTCATCAAAGGTTGGAGGGATTCTGAGAGTCCATCCCACAACACCCAGTTGGACACAGCTGAGAGCACTCTCATCCACAGCAGAGTCTCAACTGAGAAAGTCTTCAAAATGCTCCTTCCAGCGGGCATTGATGACTCTTCTTTCCTTGATCAGGTCTCCTCCATCCTTAGGTCTCAAGGGGGTTGGTCCCTGAGTGATTGAACTGTAGATGGCTTTGATGGCATTGAAAAACCTGTGCATATCCTGGATTTCAGTGAGATTTTGAATCTCCTTTGCCTTGTCCTCCCACCGTCTGTTCTTGATATCATAGGTCCTCCTTTGGACTTCTGCCTTGACTTCGTGATTTCAGTTTCTTTTGCTTGGAGTTGATGTTGTTCTGCCAAGCACAAAGGCCTTGCACTTGCAGTTGATCAACTCTTGTGTTTCTGGTCATTCTCATCGAACCAATTTTGTTTGTTTCTTGGTAGAGAATTCAAGCGTCTTTTTGTAGTTGCTGCTGATGGTGGACTTGAAGGCCCCCAAGCGCTGCCAATATTCTCCCATTGTTGATTGGAGTTCACCAGTTTTTTGTTGAGGCACTGCTAGAAGGGGTTCTTGATTGGGTCCTTGAGTCCTTCAGTGTTGATCTTCTGTTGTCATTTCTTCTGCTGTAGCTGTCTTTTGGGAGCCAATTTGAATGACATAACTGAGCAGATGAGTCGGTGATTGGTCTGGCACTGTCAACTCCTAGCATAGCTTGGGTGATGCGGACACATTTGTAATATCCAACACAAACAATGATATAGTAAATTAGGTGCCAATGCTTAGATTCTGGGATAGTAATTTCTAATGAAACTGTTCCCAGGTAAAACCTGCAGAAAGAACATAATCTAGACCCCAGTATTTGTACTGAGCAAAACCTGGTCTCTAAAAGCAGGAGAAAGTACTAGTTTTGTAAGTGATAAGTACAAAACTAAAGTACTAGTTTTGTAAGTGGATCAAGATCAGGAGCTCTCTTCCTTCTGTTAGAGATATCTGTGGCTGACTATTTTGGGATGAGTATGAGGACAGGCCAGTTGTTCAGCCCCTGTTTTAAAGCAGCCTTCTAGCCTGAACATACTTAAAATTGGTTACAATCTTACCTGGCTGTGTGCCTATCTCTAACAGAAACAGCTGAGCAGGAGCAAATAAAAAAATATTGATTCCAGAGCTGCTAACTCAGCGTGGCGAAGGGTTAGCCTGTGTTAGGTTTTGTATTGGAAGTGTATGTTGAACATTGGGTTCAATATTTAGGAAACCTGTTCAGCACCCTGTTCAAATTTGCGGACAGCACTAAGATGCGGGGGGGTGTGGGCACGCTAGACAGGAGGAATAGGGTGCAATCGGACCTAGACAGGTTACAGGGGTGGGCAGCCGAGAATAGGATGGGATTCAACACCGACAAGTGCAAGGTGCTGCACCTGGGGAGGAAGAACCAGCACCATACCTACAGGCTGGGGAACTCCCTTCTCGTCAGCGCAGAGGCAGAGAAAGATCTTGGAGTCGTCATTGATGCCAAGATGAACATGGGCCAGCAGTGCGGGGATGCAGTCAGGAAGGCCAACCGTACCTTGTCATGCATCCAGAGATGCATCTCGAGCAGGTCCAGGGAGGTGATCCTCCCCCTCTATGCGGCACTGGTCAGGCCGCAGCTGGGGTACTGCGTCCAGTTCTGGGCGCTGCACTTCAGGAGGGATGTGGACAGCATGGAGAGGGTCCAGAGGAGGGCCACCCGCATGATCGGGGGCAGCAGGGCAGGCCCTACGAGGAGAGGCTACGGGACCTGAACCTGTTCAGCTGCCAC